GACTAAGCAACAGCCTGGCGATAAAGTGTATGCTGAACGTTACTACACTGAAAAAAATGATATAACGCGCTATACGAAACTGGTGTGGTAGGTACCCGTTTGAGGTGCTGTACGGAGCTGCCTAGTGGCGGCCACCAATTCGAATGGCGCGCGCCACGAAACTCGTTTGGTACAGCGCTGCGCGGTGCTGCGCCTCGCGGAATGTTTATGAATCTCAATCAGCCAGGCGGAACAAATACTAACATTCTCGGATCTCATTTCATAATGGAGATACGTGATTTTACACTTTGGCTAGTAGAATATATGTCACATTTTTGAAGAAAAGATACAGTTTAAGATGCTTAATAGCAGATACTCACCTTCAGGCTTCACAATTTGAAAAATCCAGTAGTAAGATCTGACAGCAGTTGGGTACAAAGAATTTCAATGTAGGTAGATCCATAACGATGATAATTTCTGTGAACTGATTTTTTAGTAAAATGTCCAGTAGACTGACACATTTACTTTAAGAATCAGATTTCAAGAAAGGTAATGGTTTAAAAAAACCTATGTTCATGAGCACGGTGGATATGAAGGATGAATAAGGAAAACATAAGAAACACTGATTTTGAGTAATGCTAACTCTAACTCACAAGAGAAAAGCTGTCAACCTGATGTTTTACACTAGCCATTTAGCGATCAATGATCAAGAACTTTCGAGTAATAGGAAATCACAAAAATCACAGGGTACAGAATAGAAGCTGGTTGTAAGCGATTACTTGGAGCGTTAAAGTAGGTAATGAATATTGATAAGGTAACCATGTAAAATGTTACTCAGGGGCACAAGATGGTGAGTAAGGGTGGTATTTTTCATCATTCAATCTAAAGCCAAGACCGACAGTTTCTATTTACAAATTAACGATTAATAGAGAGAGGAATAAGTATCCTTATTAGCCTTGAAACTGTTTAGCGCAGTCGCTCAGGAAATCCCAAATCATAGAAGAAAAGCGTTTAAAGAATTTCTCCGGTTGAGCACATATTTTGGTGCATTGATGTATCTCTCTGTAGTTCTAAGCACAAAACATTGAATTTTCATGGGTATAAGAGAGTTTTAGATGAAATAGGAAAATTATCAAGTAAATCATGGTACCCAGGCAATCTAGCGTATCATGCATCCATCAACATCTTGCCCTGGTATTTAACATTCTCAGAGGTGGACAAGGGAAAAGCGAAGTAAAATTTCGTTTGAAAAGATTATAAAATGAAAACTTCTAGACAACTAGGAAATGGAAAAAGCACAAAGTAATCTTACTTTGAAAACAAACAATCAAAGAGATTAAGGTCTCGGTCGACATTGTGGGCAAGTGCACTTAGGAGCTAGAGTAGCTTCAAAACTTCACGGCATCACAAAACCAATTAGGTTCGAACATGTTCAAGATAAATATATCCTTGATTGTAATTATATTTAACGAATAAACATGCTAAAAACTACCGATATTATGTATTGTAAGGATCTGAGTGATATGAACTTGGTAATGGCCGGAACTTCGGTTTGGTACGATCGCGGTTTTCCACACATAAGACACGATGTTAGGAAAAGTAATGTAACAAACTGTTGAATACTAGAGTAAACATGAGATAGGGTGAAATTAGAATTAAATGTTTAAAGTCAAAGAGATACAAGAAAGAATATTGGCATGTTTTGATGACGAAGACACTGATAACAATCCAGACCAACAACAACCTGCCTTACTTACTGTTCATAGCAAAAACATCAATTATTAAAGATAGCAGCACTATCAACCCAAGAAGCGGGAAAATAGAATAATCATTTAAATTAAAGCGGGGACTTTTAAATTGACGCACCCGAAAAAGGGTCCGAAACCTTTGTAGTTGATACCTCAACGCAACGGCCATTTTTGTAACAGCTCGGAATGATTTGCCGTGGATGATGGTGTAAACGAGATGAATCGTGCCGCTTACCAAACTTGTTTGGTGCGCGGCATAAACCAGTACGTGACGTCAGTTTATAACTAAAAAATTCTGGTACGCCGCACTAGATTCTCGTTCTGCGCATCAAACTCTTTTTTCAGTGTAATTAAGGATGCTAGGACATAAGTAGTGAGTTTTTGGACTACCGCTCTCTTTTTGGGCCGTAGTATCTTGATTTATTTTGCGAGGAAAGCTCCGTACTTTTGAAGGATGCCTGCCTTTCCTAACATGTTGGAGCGCCTGCAATTTTGTATGATACTGTGCAATACCTCTGGTGTGAAATAGTTGCTTCAAGCGCCGTAGTACGATGCGGCGGGCGGGCAGCCAGCGCGAAACGCGCATTGGCGCCTTCAAACCTAAGAGGGATACTTCACGCATTGCGCAATGCCTGAAGTATTCCTGTTAGGTTTGAAGGCGCCAGTGCGCAGCCGCTCCGCTTTGTGTTAGGCTCTAATATTTAAATCGTAGAGTCAGCGTTTTTCAACTCATGACTTTGAAATGTTAGCACACTTTATATGGATTATTCTCATTTTAATTGATGAAAAAAAATACGTAGTCAAGGAAAATATAATGTGCGTTTTGTAAATATTAAGGTGATTCCGTACAAACTTAAGGATTTACAAAGCACACGAATTTCTACACAATTTCTTATAGCCTTTCATAGCCGATGGCGAAAAAGCAACAGCCAGGCGATAAAGTGTAAAGCCCGGCGATAGGAACTATAGCCCGGCTGTATAATTTTGTATCGCTTCGCGTAGCCCGGCCGTATAATTTTTTCCACTTTCTACAGCCAGCTATATGATTTTCTATCGCCTTCGTCAGTCGGTTATAAGAACTCCTATGGTATTTTGGAACGCAGCTCCTATCGCCAATTTTTACCAGGGTATACAGTTTAAGGGGAGTCTCTAGGAGATAATTGTACGAGAAAACCGATGGAATCAATTTTGGAACCTCGAAGTTTGTATAAACGAAGTTATAAGCGTTTAAAGTTTCCACATTTTGTTCGACCTCCCCTATTCACGCGATCCACCGTGCGGCGTTCTTCCCTAGCACGGCATAATTATGGACCAAGTTTAACAGGAACGAGAAAAGCGATCCTCTTGCGGGCTGATTATTGAAATATGGATAGACAAAGCTCTAAAGGTATCCTTCTATTGGGGGCCCCTCCTGATAAAAGGGGGGAGGGAGGGAAGGTCCAAAGGAGGCGCTGAGAGGATCAGCGAGATATCTTAAAGCATGCCAAACGGGACCTTATAAATCTACACATTGTTGACCAAATGGACGTATTTCTATCAAACGGAACTATGTGCATTATGACGTGAGCCCTGTTATGCACATATGCTTATGGGTCTCAGGGCTCATGTCTTAATGCACATAATTCCTTTTGACAGAAATACGTCCAAATAAAGTCTCCTGCGAGGCGTTTTTGGCTAAAGTATAGGAAGCGATCGCGTTCTAACCTCTCGGGCCAGTCTGTCCTGCAGGCTGATTATTGAAATTGATAGACAAATCAATATACAAAAAACAAGTGGCGTGGCGTGCTTTGTGATATATCGATTGTTCTCCCATTTAAACCTATGGTAAATAATCGATTATTAAGATGTTCGCTGCAAACACTCTGTTTATCGATCCTTTTCCATAGGTTTAAATGGTATAACAATCGATATATCGCAAAGCACGCCACGCCACTGACAAAGAAGACAAATAGAAAATGGAGCGATCCTAATGGTGGCAGTGGGTGGTGTAATGGACAGGGGAGGTGAGTAATGGACTAACTATCGACAACCTACGAGACTCTTTGACAGATCCATCATTTTTCCCTTAAGTCAAGAAGAAGTATCCGTTCCAACCAATACGTTTGCTGCATTTTTTCTTTATCACCTTTGTCTATCGCTTTGTCTATCAATTCTAATAATCAGCCTGCTGCTCTCAGCTCTACCCTAAATTTAATATTTCAGTCCTGACCATATCAATTAAGTTCCGCCGGGCGGAACTCAATGATTTTTCGGTATTCGGCTGTGAAGAATCTCTAGATGAGTCTGCTATGTGCCTTTTAAGTTCCTTTTCAAATGTTGACCAACATTTTTCGTTTCTAAAAAAAAGTCCATCGGGGGTTGGGCCGCGTAGCAACCGGGAGGAGATCCCAATGCTGTCTGCTAAGGAAAAACGCCGTATGAGCCTTTAGACGTTGCCAGAATTACTTCAATGAAAACCGAGTTTTCTTGGAACATCGCGAACATCTTTCTTCAAAATTTTCAGATAATTTTGTTCGCAATTTAATCTGAAAAATCTGAAAATTTCAAGAGGAAATACAAATAACTTTCCTCAAAAATACATGTTTTATCTGGAGAAATTTTGCAACTCTCGAATGTTCGTACGGCGTCCTTCCTTAAACTGAAAAAAAATTCTCGGCGTTTTTACCAAGGTCCGTTGATGCCTTTACCATCTCACTTTTTTTACCAATTACTGGTAATTTTACCAAGACAGACTGGTAGGTAAGCTTACCTAAAAACCGGTATTTTTACTGTTTTTTCCAGGTAAGAATACCACTTTTCTTGGTAATCAATTCCCGGTAACTTTCCCATTTTATCTAGGTAATTCTTCCACAGTCGATAAAAAATATTGGCGTTTTTACCAAGGTCCAGTAAAATTGCCGAGAAAGTTCAATAATTTGAATGGTAATTTTACCAAGAAAAAACTGGGCATCAAATAGAACCCTGAATCCTTGGTAATTTTACCCTTTTCTTAGTAAATACACCGAGATTTTTTTTCAGTGTAGCACGGCAGAACAGTCGTATATCATCCTAATAAATGAACAACCGGAGGAAATTTGGCAGCATTCGGGGATACTCATAGAGCGGTCTTCTTCAGGACGGCCGCATGGGCCAGTGGTTGACCGTGTCCGAAATGGCGGATAGAAACTAGACCGAATGCCTCAGCGTTTAGTTATCGTATCAGAAGCATAATTATAGGCTGATAAAATTGATGGTTTCGAGTGGATTCTAGCCGGGATGTTTGTTCGGTTGCAGGGCCTTCGACTTGTGAAAGGGGACGCCGAGATTGAAGGAGTCATCGCTGCCGAGCTTGTGTGCATGCGCCACGACCCCAGGGAGATCCCTCGACCCTTCAGAAACATGCGCTTCTTCTGCTCCCAGAACAACAACACCGTCTTCCGTGAGTTTTTTTTTCTTATTCATCATCATACTTCAAGATCAAATCTGATTCCATTTCATACGGTCGCATAGGAGATTTTTTTTTCTTTTCTCTTCTTTTTTTTATCAATACTCTTAGGGGGCCCCTCCCAGAAATTGACTTGGCCTCCTACTGAAAATTTGATAGATTTTACGGAATAAAAGTTTGATATCTTTCGTCTCTGAGATAGTACTTCAATCAACTTTTCGGGGAGAAAAGGTCCACATTTTTCTTGAGAAAACTCATACATACGTACAGTCCTGGAGCCTAATTTTGTCGACTCTTTCACACGAAGTGCAACATCCATCGATGAGTCCAAACCGCACCACCGGGCAATCAGAAGCGCTCAACTGGACTTAAGTGCACCCTGGTAAAAATTGGCAGTAGAATATGTGTTCCAAAATACCATAGACCTAAAGCCGGCTGTAAGATCTCCAATAGCTTCTATAGCCGACGGCTAATAAGCAACAGCCAGGCGATGAAGTGTATGCTAAATATTACTAGTTAAGGATGCTAGGAATTAGTGAGTTTTTGGACTACCGCTCTCATTTTGGGCCGTAGTATCTTGATTTAATTTGCGAGGAAAGTTTCGTACTTTTGAAGGATGCCTGTCATTCCTAATATATTAGAGCGCATAATATGTTGGAGCGCCTTCAATTTCGTATGTTACTGCGCAATACCTCTGGTGTGAAATAGTTGCTGCGGCGCGGCGGGCGGGCCGAGAGCGCGAAACGCGCATTGGCGCCTACAAACCTAACAGGAATACTTCACGCATTGCGCAATGCGTGAAGTATCCCTGTTAGGTTTGTAGGCGCTAGTGCGCCGCCGCACCGCTTTGTGTTAGACTGTAATATTTAATCTCGAGGAGTCAGCGTTTTTCAATTCATGATTTTGAATTGTTTGCACACTCTATATGGATTATTCTCATTTTAGTTTATGAAAAAAATATGTATTAAAGGAAAATATAATGTGTGTATTGTCAATACATATATTAAGGTGATTCTGTACAAACTTAATGGTTTACAAAGCACACGAATTTCTACACAATTTCTTCTAGCCTTTTATAGCCGATGACGACAAAGCACCGACCATGCAGGCGATAGAGTGTGAAGCCCGGCGATAGGAACTATGGCCTGGCTCCATAATTTGTTATCGCATCGTATAGCCCGGCCGTATGATTTTCTCCGCTTTCTACAGCCAGCTATATGATTTTCTATAGCCTTCTTTAGTCGTCTATAAGTACTCCTATGGTATTTTGAAACGCAGCTCCTATCGCCAATTTTTACCAGGGCAGTCGAGACCCGTCCTAAGTATATAGACAAAATTCAGTCTCTGTATGACAAATACTTATGCGGGGCCACCGGATTTGTATGTTGTTATAAAAATAACCTATTCTAACCTATCCGAAAATTTTTTTTGTCAATAATGCCTCTTTGTGTCAAGATTTTGGTTGCGGGGTCTCGAAGAATGGCCCCACAACCATAGGGAGGCTCCACAACCTTGTGCAATTTTTGTCCAAGTTATTTCATGAGAGATAAAGGTATTTTGCATGAGATCAGAGGACGAATCAGTGCAATTTTCAGTTAGATAAGCCCATGATTCTCCAATCAAAATGCATTCGGCAAGGGGGATTTGGCAACATTGAAATGTAGTTACGCTTTTTCGTGGGGGAAACGACGTATTATTAATATCCCTATGCAATATGCATATGCGTGTTTTTACGGATGGACCACAAATTTTAGTTCCTACTAATTGGACCGCGTTTAATAGAAAGGAACCAAGCCATATCAGCTATTACCAAATTAGACTGAGCACTTGAATTTTTTACGAGAGAACGTTTGTGTGAATTCCTTTGAAAATTTTAAGGAATTTGCCTTCGCACTATGGAGAAAATCCACTGAAAGCACGAAAATCCGCACTACCGCTTTCATGTAAAAAATTAAATCGCCCAATTACATTTGGCAATAGCTGATGTGGCTTGGCTCGTTTCTGTTTAACGCGGTCCAATTGCAGAACGTATAGTCCAATTCGCAGAGGAGATACATGATGATACTGTTCTCACAGATTCGGAGGCCCTTCCTTGCCCTTGCCGCCGAGATGAGATCCGGCGCGGAGTAGACGGAGGATAATGAGAGTGTGAAATTAATTTTTCGGCGCCCCTTAGCGGAAGTGAGTGGGACTCGGTGATTGGTCGGGGGGTTCTCGCGATTCATGAATTGAAGCGGGAGATCGACTCGAGCGCGGCGCGGCTCCACGATGGGATGCCCCCGGCAAGGTCGGATCCTCGATCCTGACCGGGTGACCGCAAGTTCAAAATACCACTGCCGGGCGCCGCTCACCTGACTCCAGCATCCGTCGCCGGAGCTAGAGCTGCTTCCACAGAGAATAGATTTTACGAGGGGGTACGCCCTCCGGGTCGCCACGCGGACCAACCCCCAATGATGCTTCCTGTGTTACACTGAAAAAAAAATCTGTATATTTACTAAGGAAAGGGTAAAATTACCAAGAATTCAGGGTTATATTTGATCCCAGTTTTTTCTTGGTAAAATTACCATTTGTGGAATTGGTAATTTTACCGAGAAATCTCGGTAAATTATTGAACTTTCTTGGTAATTTTACTGGACTTTGGTAAAAACGCCAATATTTTCTATCGACTGTGGAAGAATTACCGAGATAAAATGGCAAAGTTACTGGGAATTGATTACCAATAAAAGTGGTATTCTTACCCGAAAAAACCAGTAAAAATATCGGTTATTAGGTAAGCTAACCAGTCTGTCTTGGTAAAAATTACCAATAATTGGTAAAAAAAGTGAGATGGTAAAGGTACCAGCGGACCTTGGTAAAAACGCCGAAATTTTTTTTTCAGTGTATGTTTCAATAATTTTGATGAACCTGAATCATCCTCGTAAAAAACGACAAGGTTGATGAGAACATGTTACACGGAGAAAAAAACTTCGTGCATCGGACCCGAAGTTTAGGTCATATGGATCTCTGAAGTTTTCTGATCACGCATGCGACAACTTGAGATCGAGCTGCCGAAGTTCGGGTCAGACATCGAGGCACTTCGGTAAGCACCGAAGTACTCAGATGTCTGGCCCGAACTTCGGCAGCTGGACCTTAAGTTTTTAGATACGTGACCCGAAAACATCAGAGATCTATATGACCTCAACTTCGGGTCCCACGCACGAAGTTTTTTTTCTCCTGGGTACCAATGCGGTACCATTTTGAAATTAATATCGATGGCCGAAGGGACTAGAGTGAGGTCCTAAGAGCGACGCGGAGAGAAGGAGAGGACATTTTGTTGCTTTTTTTTAACGGGGAGAAGGCTCAGAAGTTTCATTCCTGCGATTCGAACATGCACGGAGAAAACAACTTTGTGCATGGGATCCGAAGTTGAGGTCATATGGATCTTTGAAGTTTTCTGACCACGCATCCGGAAACTTGAGGTCGAGCTGCCGAAGTTCGGGTCAGACATCCGAATTACTTCGGTAAGTACCGGAGTACTCAGATGTGTGACCCGAACCCTTCGGTACGTGCCTAGATACTTTAGATGTCTGACCCGAACTTTGGCAGCTAGACCTCAAGTTTTCGGATGCGAGATCCGAAAACTTCAGAGATCCATATGATCTCAACTTCAGGTCTCATGCACGAAGTTTTCTTCTCCGTGGGGACAAATCCCATGAAATTTCCCGTTGAGACAAGGCCTTACCGGAGGAGAGCTGAAACCTAGAGCCCACGAGGGTCGTCCCGCGGTCTCGGGTTGTCTGAAACTGAAACGGCTATCCTCAATGTGACATGAGACATTTTGCAGGGGAACCTTCACTCAAGTTGTTTGTCTCATCTCCGCCGCAACCGCGGGCCGCGTGCCGCGTCGCGCCAGAAGCAGAGTGAAGGGCATCTCTATTAATTGTTGGTCTTTGGACCGGTAACCAGCGCTCGTTGATCGTCTTACTTCCTATCGCGTCGTCGGTTCTTCGAGGAAGTACCTCTCCATCAGAGAGAGATGCTCGCAATTAGCACTGAGGGTTATTTGCTTTGCATGCAATGCGTGAGGTGCTTGGGACAATAGAGAATTTGCAGGTGTCTGGAATTTGATGAATTTCGTGGTTCAGTGGAAATTACAGAGTGGACTGAACACGAGGATACCCTTGGTTCATGGATTTAACAATTCTTGGAGAAGATATGACAAGATTATCTAATCTGCTAAAATACATGTGTTTAAATGGGAAATGCCGCCAGATGACGTCACTAGGCGGTGCATTTTCTCACTTTTAAATCGATTTTTACACCATTTCCTATACCAGAAAAAAATCATAAAAAACACTGTGAAATCAGCTCTTTCAGATGAAGCAATAAAGAATTTGCGTGCAAATTCACCATTGAGGGGCTTAGAGGACAAGGCGCAGAAGTGCAGTTTTGGAAAAAATTGAGATGAAGTTGAGAAAAAGTTCATTTAGAAAAAAAATTAAAAACAAAAAATGCGCACGTAACAAACAAAAAAACCGCTTCAGTGCAATTTCTTCTACAATAAAATGGAATTCCACATTCTTTTTCCGCAATGTGCAGACCTCAAAGCAATTAGACATTCAATTAGAATTTTGAATTATTCCGTCGTCTTAGCATGTGACGCCGTTAAATTGCGACGATCAGATCGTCTCAGAAGGCCTGCTCGGGTTTCTCCATCCAAGAGCGATCTCTCCCCCGTAATTATCGAGTTCCACCGCGAGCAAATACGAAACGACGCAACGCATTACGTAACCCGGTTGTTGCAGCTGCAGCCGCTTTTACTTTCCGCCAGAATCGCGCGATTTGCTAGAAAACTCGTGTGGAAAATTCGGAAAATAACAGCTGCAAAAATCTCCTTTTTGAAAAAGAAATGTACTCGAGCTTAATAAAAAGGAAAAAGAAGGCCAACGCAAATGAAATCCAAAACGCAGTGGCTAATACCAAGAACCCCTCCGAGTTCTGGAAAACCATTAAAA